AGGAAAAAAATTCTTATTCTTATTACACATGAATATAATGCCATATTTTTTTACTTGTTTGTTTATTTAATTTTAAGTATGATCTTAATTATTATGATGAGTTTGTATTATACAAAAGATCAAGGCACGAAGTTCCTTGATCCTCATCATATAACTAGATTAGGACCTAGAGTTCTTTTGATTGAATTAGAACCTAAAGTTCTTTGATTCCAAATAATTGAGGGCGTGAAGTTCCGCGAATTTAAAGAGCACATAAGGACATTAAACTCCACGATTTTGTATTAATCAAAATCAGAATTCCATGAGGCCTACATATGTCAAGAACCCGAACCAGAAGTTTCGATACATGGATTTGAGTATGAAGTTCAAAGCACAACTATTAATTCAATTTATTTAGATCTACGTATTCGAACTTGAAGTTTCAAATATATATTGATATGAACCTGAAGTTCAAGTTTTTCATGGATCTTAATATTATATATGAACCTGAAGTTCATTACTTATTTGTGCTTATATGAACTTGAATTGGTTGGAAATCCAATTCTTAAACTTGTAGTTTTATCTACATATTGAATCCACATTAATATTGGATTATCTTGGAATTTCATAGTCTTTAATTTATTTATTTTATTCCTCGTTTATATCACTTTACTCATTTTATTTTATTTTATTTTATTTATGTTGGGTTATTAGTTAATTTCGTTTTACAATGGTAATGTTTTGTATTACCGCCCCAATATTGACAGCCAGAGGCGTCTATTAGAGAAACTTCCTACTTTCTTTTGTGAGTAGGAAGTTTATGATGTCATAAACCAAAAGTTCATGAGGCCCCAATATTACACAACTATTAAAGTAGTTGAAAATTATGATATCATGAACCAGAAGTTCATTTGCCGGATAACTTTTATATTGTGGCATGACTATCTTGGCAATCCATGTTCCACAATGATACATAAGATTTTTATAAATTTGTAAGGACATCGTTTAAAGACTCAAAATATTGTCTTGTCCAACAAATATCATTACAAAGAATGCTCACAAATAAAAGCTGTCATAAGATCATCTCAGTCAAAAATTGACTTTGAGCCCTCTTTCTTGAAATAATTCAAAGGGATATTTGTGAGCCTATAGAACATTTAATTATGGATCACTTCACCAGTTTTATTGAATGTGCCTACTAAAATGGTCACATATTTGTCTCTTGTCAATACGCTTACGAGCATAACTCCCACATTATCCAATCCAGTCAATTTGAATTGCTAATGATGGTGAGTTTATTTTCCTACATTTTGAGACAATTTTCCTGCCATTAGGGGAGAAATTACAGTTCCTGAAGAACATAGTGAAATAGTGTTGAATCAGTCCGCTTTTGTCTCATCAAGATAATGCATATATAAAGTTATGAATATGCAAGCATGGATTGATATTCATGTATCACAATCCATCAACATGACAATAAGTGACTATGAGCATAACAAAAATATAGGTTCTAAAAACTTAACTCCTTAGAAGTGGAGATTATTTGAAAAATTCAAGCCCTATAAAAAATAACGCTTTATATGAGGTTATGATCCACATATTCTAATTAATTCATTGTAAAAGAGATGTTTGTCCCATCAGTGACAACATCAACCCCTGAAGAGGCATTGGTACCCCAAAGCAATGAGATGCTTATGAATTATGCATGCGCATGCACATGAGAATTGTAGGATCACGTTATGCATGCGCATGCACATGAGAATTGTAGGATCACGAATTGATGATACATTTGGTTTATTAGTAGGTACTACAATCATCAAGGGCTATGATTATATTAAATCTCGCCTTATGAATGTCGACAAGTTAAGTGATTGGCCAAAATGGAAATAGGCAATTCCATTTATCACTAAATATGAAGTGCGGGATATTGAACCTATAACTCAAACACCAAATTACAAATGTTAAGTATGAAGATTACGAATTGGTGCTTGTGAAGTGAAATAAGATCACTAATATTACATAAGGTTTTCTGGTAAAGACATGGTTTTAGTCTCCTATTTCATCATAGATGCATCCACATTTCTATAAGTATAGTTGTTATTTTAACGCGAAACTTATAGCATGTGTTAAATGCATATTTATTAAGACTGTATGGTACATGAAGATCCTCAAAGCTTATGAAATATTTGAGATATATTAGATGAAGCGACCCCTTGAAGGATATAAAGTACCACAATATTCTTAATTAAGAGTTAACACTAAGAGTTTGAGTATTTTGAATTCAAATTTGATATTATTGTAACATATTCTAACTATTAAATTAGTTGTTGATGCTCCTAAAGAGTTCAATCATTTGAAAAGTGAAAAGTAGGTCGAATAGTGTGATAGACGATCATGTATGAAGACAATGTTGCTTGTATTGCTCAAATAAGAGAAGGGTTCATCAAGGGTGACATAGTTTCAAAAAAAAGCCAAGAAATTGGAGTTAAACAAATTCGTTCACAAGATAATCTGGCGAACCTTTTTACCAAAACTTTTTCTGAAGCCTAAATTCCAGAAGTTAATGAAAATCAAAGGGAGATATTAATCAGGGGGAGATATCAATCAGGGGGAGCATCCCAATTATACTACATACAAGACATATGTGTGTTATACTCTTTTTCCCTTCGACTAGGTTTTTGTCTCACTGGGTTTTTCCTAGCAAGGTTTTAACGAGGCAACATAAGCGCATCCAACACCATATCAATGATCTAGAAGAAAGTTTCACTCTTTTTCCCTTCGCCTCGGTTTTGTCCCACTGGGTTTTCTAAGCAAGGTTTTTAATGAGGGAACTATGTCATTGTATGGTGAACATCCAAGGGGGAGTGTTGTAAATGCATGAGTTGGTGGATGACCATCATACCTCTTAGTATTCCATCATTGGATTTTATGTAACCTATGCATTAAATATTTGTAATTAGTACTTGTAACCTATAGGTATCTTGTAAATGATGATATTCAATCTCCTATCTTGTAAGCCTATAAATAGGTGGTTTTACCAAAGATTAAGAGAAGAAAAAATATGGTGAAACTTTATCTTTAGCATATCACTTCTCTCTACATTTTCTCCCTCTAGTTTTATAACATTTATCAAATTTTGGTCTCCTTTTTTCCTTTAAAAAAAGGTAAAGCCACTCTTACCGCATTTTTATACATTCTCATACCACATTGTGTGGCAGCTTAGATGGACAATCACATTAATTAGTAGATAAGGTGGACAATCACATCAATTTAAATTATTTGTATTTTTTATTTATTTTATATTATTTACTAATAACTAGCCCCTTGGCACATGCGTGAGCATGTGCCAATTGGTTTTCTTTTTTATTTTTATTTTATTTTTAGAATTTAAAAAGATAATAAGTAGTTGTGTTCTATAAAAATAGGATCTATTATCGAATTTTTCTTTTAATTTTAATTTTTGTAATATGAATTATTCTCATTTAATTAATAATTTCAATTCTTAATATTTGATTAGCAAAGGGCATTTTCTGATATTTTGAATGTTTTACCATTCTCTGCCTTTTGCTTTATATATATAGATAATATATATATATATATAGTTAGATGTCTTTGCGATTGAGAAAAATAAGGGTTAATCTTTTTATTAGTCCCTGAACTTAGACCTGATTTGCATTTGAGTCTCTCAATTTCCAAAATCGTTCATGTGGTCTTTTAACTTCACTTTCGTTAGGACAAATGGTCATGCTGTCAATTTTGATAACTTTTTTTGTTAAATGCAAGGGCAAAATGGTATTTTTATATTAAAACAAAAAACATGAATAAAAACAACATTCTCTTATACTACACACCGAAATAAATGTGGAAACAAACCGATCCAAGGCCCAAGGCAACTGGGAAGCCACAATGTAACACCTGGCAACATTTTTTGGTTTTTTTGTGTGCTGCCTTCGATTCTTGCCTAAGCAACGACAATGATTCACGAGACCAAACTAACATAGCCAACCAGCCAACTGCTCATCATCTCAACACCATCTCTCTCTCTCTCTCTCTCTCTCTCTCCCAAGAATACAGAAAAGAAAATGGAAGCAAATACAAAATTGGTCACGGGCATTGAGTTGAGAGAGAGCAAAAGACTTACACTGGCAATGGTTTCCCTATGAGGACAGACAGCAGATAAGTGATTGTATGGTTCCCAAGCTCTATAAAACATTATATTTTTTGTGCTTTAGTGGTACATTTGTTGGGCATTAGAAACCCAACAGTAACAGGGTCATGTGAATGTACATGTGTCTTGTGGGAGGTGGAATGCGATCGCTTTCACATTACCATTATTTCACATGCATGAGAATCGAAAGAAGGAATATATCAATCCCTATATCCTATCCCAATTCAGGTCATGTCAATTTTCATTCCTTTTCTTGGATTGTATTGTATTAGACACCGATTTTTTTTTTCTTTATACAAATGATATGAGAAAGGGGATCCGAACACAGAATCTCAAGTGTAAGGATAACTACTCTTAACCACTTGAGCTACAAATCCTTTGCTATTAGGTACTAAATTTTATTCACTGAATAACGAGAAAGTGTTTGTTTGATTCAAATTTAGTTTCATTTTATACTTTGTGTTTTAATACTAGCATACTAGCAAAATTATAACATCCATATTGCTATAATTGTTGCTTGCAAATATGGTTCTCAACTTCTCATCACATGTGACTAGGTCATAAATTCAAAGACAATTTATTTTGTCTTTTCTCATCCATAGTTGCTGCTACCTCTGCCACATTATTTTCTAACTACATGGTGAAAACAACAAAATTCTGTAGTTTGGGCCAAACTACAAGGACAAAAATGTGATTTGGTCTCTAGACTAACTTCCATGGCATGGCAGTATGTCACACCATATACCTTTCAATGTTTACATCCATAGAATTCTCTAGCTACGTCTATCAGTTAGAGAGATGCAAATTTAACCATCCTGTATATAAATAGTCCTATGTAGTCCTAACACCACACTTAAGGAAAACATATAACTCTCTCTCTCTCTCTCTCTCTCTCAAGTTGTTTCTTGAGTCATAGTAGCCAGCACTTCTCTTTTCTGATATATACAGTAGGCAATGATGGCAATGGCAAGGACTCTAAGGATTGTGCTCTCCCTCGTTATGCTTCATTTCTTAATAGTAGAGAACCATGTAAGCAATCAATTAATCTTTGATCTCTCTCTCTCTCTCTCTCTGTGCCACCCTCCCTTATATATATGTTCATTTTCATCTGCATATATTATGCATGCCTGCATTCCTAATCACCCTATGAAAATTCAAGTGATCTCATTGAACTGTTGAACTATTTGCATGTTGTACTTTGAAGCGGAGATATATAATTGCAGTAGGATTATTTAAAAGAAAATTAAAACAAGAAGATTGTGTTATTCAATGGTATTATTGAGTGCATGCAAGTCTATCCCATCAGAACTTAAACATTCTGAAATTTCTCCCCACCTCTATCTGATTTATTCATCTGCAAATTTCGTAAAAATTTATGTTGCAGGCTACTACCATTACTGAGGCTCCAGCACCACAGCCCCAAGGCAGTAACAACCACACGATGGTAAATTATATATCTACTGGCATTTTCTGCTTCAATTTTTGATATGTTTTTGTCTGATATTTAATTTAACTACCTCTTTTTCCTTGAAAAATTCAGAATGGAATTACTGAAGGCAGCCTTCAACCTCAAGGTAAAGATCCTAATCAGCCATATAATTTTTATTTTATTTTAAATCAATTGTTTTATTTAACCAAAAAGAAAAAGAAAAGAAAAGGTTGATAGAAGTTTAACATGATACTGTACAGAGTGTGGTCCGCGTTGCTCTACAAGATGCTCAAACACACAATACAAGAAGCCATGTTTGTTTTTCTGTCAAAAGTGCTGCGCTAAGTGCTTGTGCGTGCCTCCAGGCACCTACGGGAACAAGCAATTCTGTCCTTGCTATAACAACTGGAAGACCAAGAGAGGAGGCCCCAAATGCCCTTGAGCTAGCTCACTCCTTGTACATATAATTATGTTTTATTCCTATTTTTCAGGCTATTTTTCTTTTACTTAATAATTCAACTTAATTGAATTGCTTTATATGCTTTTGAATTTGTTGTTTGTAGATATATTAATAAAAAATCCTTTCGTTTGGCTAAAACACCTCTAGGTGGATTCTAGCATCTAATTAACCTCGACACTATCTCCCACCACAGGGTGGATTCTTAAGACATTTACTAGATACTTTGATTACCTGTCTCTACTACAAATTTGCTAATAGACTACACTACATAGGCATAGGGACAACAGAAAACGGATGCCGTTATCGAATTAGACATCAGACACTGAAAAAGCAAGGTGTAATGTGTATATAAGACGTCGTCACTTCAAATTACCGATGCCTTTTATGCTATATGTAGCATCATTGCACCAAATTGGTGATGCCTATAATAAATTTTTTTTATAGGGATTTTTTAGCGCCCCTCTATTTTTATTTATTTATTTATTTTTATAACTAATGCCTATTACAATTTTTTTTAGTGGGATTTTTATCATATGATACATCAACAACTTAGATTTAATTGATGTCATAACTATAATTAAACATCAGGTTGTTTTTGCTTCTTAAGACATCGGAAAATTTATCATTAGTGAAGTGGTTCTTTCTGAAAGGCATCACAAATATGAAGAAAACAATGCTCATAACAGTTTGACACTACTGTTGAGGCCCAAAAAATCCACAGTTAGGCCCAAATAAATTTTCGGCCCAATGCGATACCTTATCAATAAGAAACCCGATTTGGGCATGCGAAAGTTCGTCATATACGTTTTGCACACATGCCACGCCAAGCAAATAAGCAACATGCCACGCTACAAGCTTAAGTGGGCCTAAGCCACGTTAATGACTGGGGCTTGCTGAGCGGGTTGTGGTATGGATGGTTACGAGTATTCATGAGGCCCATTGATGGTCCAAGGAGTGGAAGTTTTGGGCTACTTGGGAGCACCCAAACTCAAGCTCATTCATTGAATCCAAACATATGGGCAAACATGAGAGAAAACCCAATAGCCCATCACCTTAAGAAAAGGCCCAAACATCTTTAAAAAATGTCCAATAGCCATAGCCCATAAAAAATCCCACATCAGCCAAAGCTTCCAGCAGTCTGACGAAATCAAAGGGAACTCACAAACCGCTGGAAACAAAACAGCCCAGCTCAGCATTTTATAAAATATCCAATGTCGTGCTCTGTTAAAACTAGTTCAAAGCCAAACCAGCAAAAGCAAGCAAACCCATGTGCTGATCACCTTTTTGACCAAGCACCCTTACCCATTCTTTCCTCTTCAAGCTTTGGTGAGAAAACAAGAAGCAAAAGTGGGTGGCACCTCACCCACATGAAGAGTCCAGCTGCTTGAGGACCTTGGAACCCCAAAAAGCTGCGTGCCTATGGGTTCAGGCTAGAGAAATTTCACCAAACTAGATAAATGGAAGAAAGTGAAGGAAAAGGGGAGAGGGTGGCTTGATAAAGTTGAGTCTTCTAACCCCTATAAAAGGAGACACTTTTTTTCCAGCAAAACAACTCAGAATGGACAGAACAGACAAGAACGAATTGAAGGCAAGCATCCACTCTGGAATCCTTCGATTTCATGCTTTGTTCATCCATTCCTCTTCCTCTCTCTCAAAACCCATATCCAGAGAGAGCAAGCATCATCTCTCATCTCTGGAACCCTTCGATTTCAAGCCTTGTTCTTCCATTGCTTCCATTTTTCTCCTCTGTCAAATCGTCCATGAGCTTGACGAAGCTTTCGTCAAGCTGCTGGAAATATGCTAAAGCCATCCATGCTTTCATCTTCTACCTCTCTTTCCATAACACAGATTTAGAGAGCAAGCTTCATCTCTCTCAAAGCCTCTGTTCCTCATAGGAAACTTTAAGCTTTCTCTCTCTCTCATGCTAAACTCACGAATACTCAGCTCCCATGCCACAAGCTCTCGTGCCAAACCCAAGAATTTATCTGTAAGTAACTGTTGGTTTCGTTGGTGAAGAAGACCAAGGTGTTTCCTAAGGCTCAGCTACTCTTTCGAAACACTCTTGGGGCCTGATCCTTGAACTCAGACTCAAGAGGCAATTTCACACATGTTTCTCTTTTCGGCAGCCTAAGCCCATTCGTCAAGCTGCTGGAATAAAAAGACTCCCACAACTACGAATGTGTAAAAAAAACCGATGCTAAATGTATTAAAGACATCGGAAAGAATATAGGATTGAAGCGATTCTCCTTGAAAGGCATCGATACTTTATATAAAGTGATGCTTATGACAAAAATACACTAATATTTAAGAAAACTTGATGTGAAAATTGTTATATAGACATCGGGAAATAAAACGTAAGTGAAGTAATTATCATAAAAGGCATCGTCAAAGACATCGGGAGAACATAATTTGGAAGAAAGTCAACAACTGAAGCTAATTAAGGCATCATTTTGGTTGAAGAAATCGATGTTGTTTCTGTAAAAGACATCAGTTTTTCCCCGATGCCTTTTACACCCCCTTTAGCATCACCTTACGAGGCATCGGTCTATGATAATAAAAGGCATCGGTTTTTCCCCGATGTCTATTAGCCTTTTTTTTGGTAGTGTGTATTCCTTGCATGCCATACTTGATCAAGAAAAGTCTCTATAAGATATCCATTGTGCCCCAAATTGTTTAGTTCCCCTCAATTTTTCAAGATATTGAAGTAAATATTATAGTAAGATCTCTTGAATTCAAAATATAAAGGTTACTTTTGGTCCCCATGGTTTGCCGATTTTACTACTTTGGTCCTTGTAGGTTTAGTTTTTTTAAATTTTATCTTTGTATTTTCAATTCAGAGCAATTCAAAATTTCTGCCTCTCCATCTCTCTTGATCTCCTCAGCTCTCTCTCTCTCTCTCTCTCCAAATCGTTATGATCGAAACTGTCGGTTCAACCAACAATCGGCAAAGTGGGAATTCCGTTTGTAGCATTTTGACCACCGTCGGTTTGGTAACCAAACTGAACCCACCCCATAATAAAAAAAAACTCCCATTTCGGTCAACTCTCCATCACCTTTCTACATCCCAAAAAAAAGACTTTAATTAAATTTCGCAACTCCATAAGCTACAGTTCATATTTATGTGACGTCTAAAGTGTAAATTTTAGATTTGATTAATTAGATGGTAATTTGACAGTTTTTCCATTTTCTCCCTCAAACACTCCTTTTACTGCATTCTGACTTTGGCATTGAAGATGGTTCGTTGGTAGTACCACACCATTACCTCTTTGGTGACTCGTTCTATCCCATGTGCAGATAATTTTGACGGAGAAGAGAAGACCACTCTTCCAATTCGGAACCAATAGAAGTTTGACTTTGACCCGATCAAAGTCCTTAGTTGATCATCTGAAATCAAGTGTCAATAGAAAGTAAACAATTGTAGGGTCCAACATATAAAAAATTATTAATTAAACAAAACATTTGACATTTGATCCTTGTCTACATTGCCTTTGTTGCCACCAAATCCATATAGAATAATTTGACTACTAAACTGAAGTAGTTTTCTCCTTCAGTTCTCTTCATTTCATGTTCTGATGATAATTATTTGACATATATGAGCTGAAGATGCTCTCACATGAGTAACGTCAGAGAAAATGCCTCTATAGAGGTGTTATTACTATTGGAATAGTAATTACATATTTGAGTGTTACACGAGCAAACTTAGAAGAAAAAGAAGGCCCTATGAGCCTCTTTGATGTTTGTCCAAAAAAAAAAAAAAAGGCCTCTTTGATCTGTTATTATAACCTCAGTAGAAACTGAAACCTTTCATTATTCCTTTTAAAGAACAAAAGAAGTATTGCAAAATATCATCCTTAATTTAATAATTCAAAGTTCATTAAAAAAAAAAATTGAAAATTTGAAGTTACAGCTTAAGAGTATTTTATTTTATTCTATTATTACTTCAATAGAAGATAGAGAACCTATCAAACAGAAGGATATATATCAATTTTTGAACATACAAACGCATAAACATGAGCACGAAAGGCAATTCAATATCATCTATCTTCAGTAGTCTGTGAAGGCTCTTCGGTATGAGCCACCTTCTTTGCTTTGGCTTATGGAAGTAATAGCTTTGAGTACCTTGTAGTGATGGAGGCTGTTGTTAATTTGACCAACTCCATGGCTTGTGGGATTTAAGGGCTGTTGAAGATTTTCCACTACATGGAGATCTCTGTTAGAAGTTTGAAGAGGAAGAAGAAGTTGATCTTTGGGACTGGGACTGGTGCTGTCGAAGGCCATAGGCTTTGTGCGAGGGTAAAAGAAATCAGTAGGAAAGAAGTTGTAGTGCAGGCCAGCCATGGTTTGGTTGTGAGAAAAGGCCACAAATGCGACTTTTTAAAGAATTTAATGTTTTGGTTATACATGGTGAAGCGCACAATTGTATCTTTTATTTATAGGGAGGGAGGATTTGTTATTTGGCTTGGATTGTTAATTTGTTATTTTCTGGGATTCCAATTAATGTCATTATGCAAATGCATTTTTATTTTATTTTATTTTCTAAAAGTCGATAAAATTTTATTAGATCAATAGAATAAAAAGTATAAAGGACACATACTGTAAAGGGATACATTCCAATAACAATATGACAACCATGGGTAAAACTTCCCCTGTGACCTGAGGCAGCCGAAAAGCTAAAACTATCCATAGAGAATCAAACTCGAAAATAACTTTTTTAAAACCCCTTTCAATGGCCATAATTTCCCCGAATATAGTCTAATGACTAGTTCAAAGACAAAAACTAGCCGCTAACCGGCATGACTCTCTTTGCTGCAATATCTCAAATAGTAGCCTCGCAAGATGAGGCACAACCAAAGCCAGTCCAGATCTGCGATAATAGATCAACCAAAAAAAAGAGTAGATCGACATAGGTCCACCAGAAGCTATCCGAGCCTTGCTAGAGATAATACATTTCAGTTATACAGAGTTTGTGGGATTTGACATCAGTTTCTTTTAGTAATATATTCTTATGCAATCTAGAACTGAAATTTTAGGAGACTTGTCGCAGC